AATCCTAGAGGGCTGTAGCCTAACCAATTGTGGCAAATGGACATTACTCAATTTGCAGATTCTGGCAGGCAAAGGTATGTACATGTTACAATAGATACATTTTCTGGCTTTATTATGGCTACTGCGCAAACAGGGGAAGCCACAAAAAATGTTATAACTCATTGCTTGGCTTGCTTTTCCATAGCTGGGATCCCTAATGTTATAAAAATAGATAATGGCTCTGGCTATACCAGTCAGGGGTTCCAACGTTTCTGTTTGCAATTGGGCACTGAGCATAGAACTGGGATACTGTATAACCCATAAGGACAAGGTATAGTGGAAAGAGCTCATGGTGCACAAGTTATAGTGGAAAGAGCTCATGGCACTTTAAAAGCACAATTACAAAAAAATAAAAAAGGGGGAGTTATATCCCCAGGCATCAAGTAATCTTTTACATCATACTCTTCATTTTAAACTTTTTGAATTTGGATAAAAATGACCACTCTGCGGCAGATAGAATGTGGCACCCTCAGTCACAGGATACCTATGCCTAAGTCAACTAGACAACAGAATGGCCCCGACCCTGTACTGATATGGGGACGAGGACGTGTTTGTGTTTTTCCACAGGACGCAGATGGAGCCAGGTGGCTGCCGGAAAGTCTGGTGAGGTTCGCCGGAAGAGTGCCAGAAAAAGAAGTGGAAAAGAATAAGTCAACAAACGTGGCTGACGACGATGTTCCTGCAAGTGATCTTGACTGAGTTATACTGGACTTATGTTCCTGATCCACCAACATTGCACCCCACAATATGGGAGGAAAAAGAGATAGTAGTGACTGTGAATGACTCTCAATTAATCACTCGGCCTGGTTTGAAACACCTGATGATGCAAGTGGCGACAAATTTTAATTATTTTGGATTGGGAAGTGGGTTGCCTATTTGTTTTGTTAAAAATAATAAGTCCCGGTACAAGTAGATGTACAAGATGTACAAGTAGATGACTGTGTGCTTGTGGGACAAAGTGGATACTGTACCAATGTCAAAGTGTTATTGCCAAGAGATAATAGAGAAGAAAAAAAAATTTCTCCGCAAGCATTTCCACCCTGTAAGCAGCAGCAAATATTCTAAAAAGTTTGAGAGCCACCTTACCATCGTGGTCCTCTATCACTTCCATTGTGTATGGTTTAGTGGGAATTGGCATGCTTTTCCTCCTGTCTTTGTTTTCACCTGGTGGCAGTAAAGTTATTTATGAAATCCTGTGGCAAATCAAGGTTGCTGTGCATGATATGAGATTGCGCTCATTCCCCTAACAGAGGCCGGTAGTCAAAGACAGGTAAGTTCTATGCTGGGTTACAGTCTGGGAGTCTCTTGGGCTATCCTGGCCAACAACTCAAAGGAAGGTATCTCCTGTCTGGCATTGTTTCTTGTTATGTAGCCTTTAGCTATACACATGGACCCTTAAAAAATTATACTGACTCCTTTAATCTTTGGTTATACTTTCCTTTTGGGTGTTTAAGACCCTACAGTTGGCCCAGATAAGCCAATTTATTTTTACTCTTAAGGTTATTTGAAGATCTGTTCCTCAGGGGTCACATGAGCTCAGGAGGAGCCCCTGGCTCCTTTCTTTTAGCAGTTCCATCTATGTGAAGATAAGTCAAAGGTCCTACTCGACCATGGTTGGCTTCGCT